AAAAATAAAAGCGGGTGGGGGGGTGCAGGGGGGAGGGCGCAGCGCCTCCCCCCGGCAATGCGTACCAAGAGAGAAGCACATAGGCACAAGTCTCAATGGATATATTGCAAGTAAGAACGAGAAGATCAAGAAAGAGGCACATAGGCAGAGGTCTCGATGGATATCAACAAAAATGAAATTAACCCAAATAAACGATGATGCTTATGCAAAAAGAAAGGAATAGTAGGTAGCAAGGGGAACCGGTTTAAAAATAAAAGCGGGTGGGGGGGTGCAGGGGGGAGGGCGCAGCGCCTCTCCCCGCAATGCGTACCAAGAGAGAAGCACATAGGCACAAGTCTCAATGGATATATTGCAAGTAAGAACGAGAAGATCAAGAAAGAAGCGCATAGGCACAAGCCTCGATGGATATCAACAAACATGAAATTAACCCAAATAAACGATGATGCTTATGCAAAAAGAAAGGAATAGTAGGTAGCAAGGGGAACCGGTTTAAAAATAAAAGCGGGTGGGGGGGTGCAGGGGGGAGGGCGCAGCGCCTCCCCCCGCAATGCGTACCAAGAGAGAAGCACATAGGCACAAGTCTCAATGGATATATTGCAAGTAAGAACGAGAAGATCAAGAAAGAAGCACATAGGCACAAGTCTCGATGGATATGTTGAAAGAAGAAGAAAGAGAAAATGAACCCTAAGAAACGATACTTATGAGCAAAAGGCAAGAGAGTAGGTAGCAAGGGAAGCCGATGAAAAAACAAAAGCGGGTGGGGGGGTCCCGTGCAATGCGTACCAAGAAAGAACATGTAAGAAGTACATAGGCACAAGTCGCGATGGAGATCAATGAAGATGAAATGAACGCAAATAACCGATGATGCTTATGAAAAAGGAATCAGAGTAGGTAGCAAGGGGAGCCGGTTAAAACAAGTACATCTAAAAAAAGTCATCTTTTGGTTTAAAACAAAATGTGAGCGCATGGTTCATGTATGTTTGGTATGTTTTGGTCACAAATCTATGTGGCTCTGACTTGCATCTCAACTCAGTATTTCTGCAACGGGTTCCGAACGAGGCCAAAAACGATGCCAAAACGAGGCCCGAACAAGGCCAGAAAATAGTTTTGGAAACCCCTCAGCTCTAGCAGCTCAGCAGCACTTTGCACGTTGCCCGTGGTGGCTGCAAGCTGCAAGTGTTGACTGCACACATGGTCCTTCCTTCCTTCCTTCCTTCCTTCCTTCCTTCCTTCCTTCCTTCTTTCCTTCTTTCCTTCTTTCCTTCCTTCCTTCCTTCCTTCCTTCCTTCCTTCCTTCCCTTCGTTCCCCCCTTGCATCCTTCCCTCCTTCCCTCCTTCCCTCCTTCCCTCCTTTCCTCCTTCCCTCCTTTCCTCCTTCCTTCCTTTCCTCCTTCCCTCCTTTCCTCCTTCCCTCCTTTCCTCCTTCCTTCCTTCCTTCCTTCCTTCCCTCCTTCCTTCCCTCCTTCCTTCCCTCCTTCCTTCCCTCCTTCCTTCCCTCCTTCCCTCCTTCCCTCCTTCCCTCCTTCCCTCCTTCCCTCCTTCCCTCCTTCCCTCCTTCCCTCCTTCCCTCCTTTCTTCCTTCCTTCCTTCCCTCCTTCCCTCCTTCCTTCCTTCCCTCCTTTCCTCCTTCCCTCCTTTCCTCCTTCCCTCCTTTCTTCATGGTCATTTATTTGTTTTGATGCATTTATATTTTTTTGATGCATTTATATTTTGTTTGATGCATTTTTTTTTGATGCTTCTCCCCTCTGTAATAGAGGTGCTTGCATGAAAGTTCCCTTGCAATGCTTCCAGGAGGTTCTTGTATGAAGATCTAGTAAGATCCTCTAGAAGGACCTTCTTTGGCAATATTGTGAAATTCTCTTACAGGTCCTGGTATGAGGTCCTGGTCGGGAGACATAGCATTGCTTTGGTAACAAAACTGCTGCTGTTCCGATAATGTCTAGCCTGATCTGTTACTGTTTCCGTAGCTACTGTTGCTTGCATCTCCTACATTGATTTCCTACCCCCCACACTGTTTGGGGTCTCTTGCCAGTGTCATTTTTAGTGGCTCAAATCATCCCCAACAATTCATCAAGCCTGGAGACCCTCTCCTTGCAGCTGGGCAATTTGTTCAGGGCTCAGATAGAAAGGATCCAAGGCCAAGGTCAAGTGAAGCGTCAGCGCGGCCAAGCGAAGCGAGCGAAGCGCCATGGTCCCGCTACGAGATCACAGAGCGGGTCACGGGACTTTAGGCAGCGAGACGCCGATCAAGACAATGACTTGGGATGGCCAGAGTGATTCTCGAGTCATCCTGGCATCTTGGGATGCGAAGTTTTGGGATGTTCCGAGGTTTGCGTGATTTTGGCAAACATATCACCTGCACAAGTGCCAATTGCACTCGAGACAACTTTGGAGCCAGAAGCGGATCTGCAACTGTGGCCCCACCTCTGTTCAGCTCAACCTTTGCAGATCGGATCTTCAAATCTTTGTAGAAGAAAACCGGAACTTTAGGACTTTGATC